GTAATAAAAAAAAATAATAATAAATAGTAAATACATTCCAAAGAAGAGCCAGCCAGAGACCAAAAGTGTGAACTTAGGAAGCTGATATTTCTCATACTTCTGTTCTTCACCTGGAGAATTGGTGAATATTTTACATACCCAATGATTCCTATAAAACAAGCTATTGATATGTATGTAAATTTACGAGGCAGAAAAATCATAAGAAATGAACCAACTAGAAATTCATGCTGATCTTTCTCTCTGCCATGTAATCTTACAGTGTTCTCTTTAGGGAACACTTATGATAGTCTAGTATCCCAAATAAGATCATCTGCCCACACACTACAATGCAAAAGCTGCCCTTAGTTTTCACTATAAAATCATTTCTGGAAAAATATTTCTCTTAAAGCACCTATCAAAATATTAACTCCATAAAAGCTAAAAAAAATGACCATACATTTCAATAAAAATATTTAATCTTTCTTAAGAGCTGTTTTTTTTAATTTATATATAGTCAGCTACTTTATCACAGCACAAATACATTGGTGAGGATGTGAACTTGCTATGCTCACCAAAGTCATCAAGTGGGGGGAAGGTCTCATTGAATATTCAAGGTTATTGGGCCTGTTTACCCCTTTTCTTGTGACCCAGAATATAGCTGAGATATTCAAAATAAACTGCTTCTATACATAGGCTTGTAAAATAACCTATGTAGATTACTAAAAACTTTACAGATACATCTCAGTATGTTTCTTAATTCTCTACGCAAAGGTAGCTTTTTCTCTAATGATTTGTGTGTGTGTGTGTGTGTGTGTGTGTGTGTGTGTGTGTGTGTGTGTGACTACAGAGCAGAACCAAAAACCAAAAAAACAAAAAAAAGAGAAATCACATAATCTAGAGATAGTACTGCCTGTTAGAGACACTAATAATTTTGCATATTTATCCAGAAGGACTGGGAACTAACATTGTTTACCCAACACCATTTCCCTCAAGAAACCTTCACATCAATAGATTTATATATACTAAACTTTGATTGTGAGGGGCTGACATCAGCCATTTGAAATTATCCGAATGAAAAATTTAGTCTTTCTATGTATAGTAAAGGGATAATATTCTGTACATATTTTGTTTTGTTTGTTTCATTTGGTTTTTTGAGACAGGATCTCCCTGTAGCATTGTTTTGAAGAGCATGATTGTTTTAATTTTGTGACATAAATAATCACACAAAAGTAGGAGCTTCCCCAGGTTATCTGTTAGATTTCACTAAAACAGGTTCATTTTTGCGTGTGTAGCATCTTTTCTAAGAGTGTGCATCTGGGTTTTTACCATTGTATGTAATATGCCTCAAAAATACAGACTTACTCTTCAAAAAACTCAAAATTGTAGCATCTGCAGATATTTCCTGTGGAGTTATTCTTAGAGTAGCTCTCAAGAGCCAAGGAACAATCCTTGAGCTTACATGTGAGACCATCTCAAAAATAAATAAATAATAAATATCCAGGACAGTGGAGCTGAGCTGTCCTCCCTCTCAACTTCCTTTTCACTGCCTTTTCCAAGACCTGAGACAAAAAGCTCGGCCCAGGGCTCCCTTCACCTCCTTGTTTCGAAGACTGTAGATAAGAGGGTTGAGCATTGACGTTACAATGGAGTAGAAGACAGACACCACCTTGTTGAAGTTGATGGAGGAGGCCACCTTGGTCCAAACATACATGAAGAAAAGAGTGCTGTAGAAGAGACTGACCACAGTCAGATAAGCAGCACAGGTGGAAAAGGCCTTCCGCTGCTCCACAGTGGAACAAATGTGCAGCAGTGTCCAGACAATGTTGCTGTAGGACACAGTGATAATGGTAGAGGAGGCCAGGAGAACAGTCAGAGACACCAGGAAATCCACGGTCTCCTTCAAGGTGACATCAGAGCAGGACAAAGCTAGCAAAGGTGAAGTGTTGCAGAAGAAGTGGTCGATGATGTTGGGGCCACAGAATGTCAGTTGAGACATGAGGTAGATGGGAAAAATGGGGGTGGGAACACCTACCAGCCAACAAGCAGCTGCCAGACGGAAGCAGGTGCCCCAGGACACCAAGAACCCACAGTGGCGAGGCATACAAATGGCCACATAGTGGTCATAAGCCATGGCAGCCATGGAGACACTCAGTGGCCCCAAGGAAAGTGAAAATGAAGAGCTGGGACAGGCAGCCAGCACAGGAGATATTCTTGCCCCCATATGCCCCAATAAAGCCAGCCAGCATCTTGGGTACTGTGACTGAGGTATACCAGATTTCAAGGCAGGACAAGTGTGTCAGGAAGAAATACATAGGTTTCCATAATCGGTGGTCCCAGCCCACCAGTAAGATGATGGCCAAGTTCTCTACCAAGGTGAACAAGTACATGGTGAAGAAGACTGCGAAGAAAAGGAGACGAGCTTCATGTACCCCAGCAAAGCCAATCATGACAAATTCTGTTACCTGAGTCCAGTTTTGAGTATTTGGCTGCATAAGCAGGAGTAAGGACTCAGCAGATTCATAGTCTTATAGATCATGAAAGCTCAAAGAGATTCCAAGAGGATGTTGAACGAAAACATCCTCTGTAGCAAAAGAGAGAAGTCAAGGCACTGTCTTTATTCACAAAGAGTTTGAGGTCGATACAGTTTCAGTACAAAATGAAAAGTGCTGTAGAGAAATGGGACAAAATATTATGGTAGGAAGTAGCAGGAAAGTTCAACAAGTCTTAAGAAATCTTCCTGGAAGGATTATCTAAACTTGAACCTGAAAAGGAAGTATAAGTTAGTGAGATCATCAGGAGAGAAATGGAGAGGACATTGCAAGAATAAAGTCCCAAGCACCATAGGCATTGTGAATCTAGGGAACATCAAGAAGATATCATTTGCCATAGAGGTTAAGACCTCAGCTTCCTGGACAAGCATACCTACCTTCAAATATAAGGGAACCTAACAGAAGTATGAAATTTTACATAAGATCCCCTTAAAGCAGTTAGCATCATGTAAATAAATAGTAGGGAAATTTTTATGCATTGTCTTCTGGAAAAGAATATAAACAAAAACAACAAGTGTTAACTTGAGGAGTTGGCTAAAGTGACATCACAGAGGGACACAAACCAAGTTAATGGAAAGCTAAAAACTAAATATCAGCCTTGAAGAGCTCTGGGTAGGGGAGCAACACTGTGCTTTTTGCTCGTCAGCAGGGACTGGTTTCATGATAATGCCATAAAGGGCTGGAGTGTTTCTTGGAAGTAGCACAAAAATGCATCCTGATTCCTAATCCATTCTACTCATCTGTGTCATTTATTAAGGAATTAGACTGTTAATATTCAGAATGCAAAAAAAAAAAATTCAGAGTACATTCATTTCTGTTGCTTTGTTGGTTTTGTGATATACTCTTAGGCTTCTTTTGATTAACTGTCCTGGTGCTGTTTATTTCCTGACACCATGGCTATGTTTCTCCTTCTCTTCAGACTGAAGCATTCCTTCCAGTATCCCCTGTATAGCTGGCTTAGTGGTCATATATTCTTCTAATCTGTTCTTATCATAGAAAGTTTTAAATTTTAATAGATAGTTTTGCTGGGTATAATAGTCTGGATTTCTAGTTGTGGTCTTTCAGAAATTGGAATACATCTTTCCAGGCCCTTTTGGCTTCAAAAGTCTCTGTTGAATAATCAGATGTTATTTGATGGGCCTGCCCTTTATACATGACTGAACCTTTCCCTCTTGAAGCTTTCAATACCCCTTCTTTAGAGCCATGTTGGAAGGTTGTTGAAAGTATAGCATGAAGAGACAGTGACTGTAACTAAGGAAATATTGGTAGCTTAGAGTGTGAACATAGCCATTAAAAGAGAAACAATGTCAGGTATGTTGGTACAAGTCTGTAATCCCAGCACTTTGGAGGCAGAAGAACCAAGAGTTAAAGGCAAACCTCAGGTATATAGTGAATTTGAGGTCAACCTGGGCTGCATTGAGACCTTGTCTCAAAAAAGGAAGAAAAAAAGACAAAATCAACAGGACTGGACTCAGACATAAGCTAGATAATTCCCATTTTTTAATGGATAATAAAAAAGAGATTCAAAGAAAAGAATTCTTATTTTAACATGAACTGACAAGATTTAGTATCTTCACTAGTGTGGAAATTTTTTTTCAAATGGCCCAAGGGGCCAACAAGATGCTCATCAGTAAAGCTTGGCAACTGAGTTCAAGTCCTGAAACCCACACAAATGTAAGAAGAGAGAACCAGTCACAAAGTTGTCCTCTGACTCCACGCATGTGCCATGGTATGCAAGCCCACATATGTAAATCATACACACACATAAATAGTAAATAGATAAATAATTTGTAAATAATAATAAAAATACATAGTCCCAAACTATTATTTTATATTCTTCCCAATGAAAAGTAGGAGCAACAGCTATCACCCTTGAACCTGAGCTCTGTGATGATTTGACAACAGAGTGAGATGGAAGTGGTATGCCAATTTCCAGGAGCAGGCCTTAATTAACAAAGTGTTAGTTCCCACTTCTTGCTCCTTGGAACCCAGCCACCATATTATGAAGAAAGCCCAAGCAGCTTGAGGAAAGGCCCAAATAGAGAAAAACTAAAGGACCCGAGCCTTAGGCATGGCTGAACACCCACTGACAGCCAGTGCCAGCATGCCAGCCCAGGTCAACAAGCAACTTAAGAAATGGATCCTCCAGTCCCTAGTAGAGATAGCCAAGCTAACACCAGCCTTCTCTGATGAGCCTTCAGATTGCAAGTTTGTGAGCTAAAGAATAAATCACCACTACGTTAGGACATTATGTTTTGGGGTAATTTGATAAGCAGTAATGGATGATTAAAACAATTACATACAAATTCTCTAACCTTAGGAAAATTACTATTTCTGATCTTTTTTAATTTTTATTTACTATTATCATGTATATGTGCATGAGATAGAGGAAGGAACATACATGTCACAGCATGCATGTGGAGGTCAGAGGGAAAAGGTCAACTTTGTGAAGTCCATTTTCTCCACCTCCGTGAGGGCTCCAGGAGTAGAACTCAGTTTGCCCTGCTTGCACAGAAAGTGCCTTTACCTGCTGAACCATCTTGTCAGCCCCAGTTCTGATCTTTTGAGGGGTGAGAATGATGTTTTACCTCCAGTCACAAATGTCTGAACTGGAATTTGAATCCAAGTTTGCCAATGCTAAAACTCTTGCCCTTTCCTATAAAATATTAAGCTCTTTCCGGTTTCAGCATTTCATGATCCCCTGACAATGCAAACGTGAGGGTACAAACTCAGAGCCCTGTGTGTACACCTTCCCCACGACTGTGTCCATGCCCCGCATCCCCCACAGTTGACAGTCTGTAAACTAGCTTCCTGGGTGAGTAACTGCATCACAGTCCTGTGGGTTCCATCCTCAAATTGGCTCTGTGACGTTTCAGAACACATTTCCCGCCCCCACCCTACTGCAATCTGGTTTTCGAAGCGGCAGGCCCAGAAGCGCTCTACTCTTCCTCCATGCCTTTCCTAACAGATACTTCCTGCATGCTGATGCTGTAGAAGCCTGGCTCGTCTTGTTTTATAGACAGTGTCATAGTAACGTTTTCCAAAATATTCATCCTTTATTCTAATCATGAAGAAGATAAGGTTTGGAAGATACAGAGATCCAAGACCAAGCCCCGGATCTGCAGCGCACTAGCTTGCTTTCCTCCTGTATGAATTACTTCTATTGCTTCTAAATGTTATCTGTCTAGCTGTGACTCAAATTTTTTATTCCTGTGTTCATTTAGAAATCTTTTTCCTTCCCTCATTCCTCCAAACTGGTATGCAAGTCAGGCCAGAAAATTCAATAGCACCTGCTCAGTACCAGGAACCATGGTGGATGCTGAGGGGCATGTTCAGTACAGAGCAGATGCCCTCCAGCATCCACCAGGAGGTCTGGTACAGAGCAGGAGTGGTTTACACTTTCAGCTCTCCGATCCATACTTAGAAAGAGGATATATGGGGTTTGTATCAGGTCCCAATTAGTTACACTGAAATAACCTGATTTTGTTACTCAAAAGCAGGAGGGATAGTGAGAGTATTTCCAAAAGCATGAAGGAAAGAGAAAGCAGAAAGCCTCATTCATATTTCCCCTTCTTCATTGTGCAGTTGTTGCTGCAAAACAGCTGCCTGGCCAGGGCCTGAACTCGTGTCCACTTATGTCCAGTCAAGACACGTTTTATCTGTGGCTGGGAGCTTTAAGAAACAAAATTTTCCAGGAGTTAGATAATCTCTGTACCTTCACCATTATCTATTATAGAACCAAAGGATGGAAAAGAACCTAAATTCCCTAAATAAAACAATTTATGTGTTCCTGGAACAGAAATCATCAGACTCCTTGTAGAGAGCCAGTTTGTAAATAGTTTAAGCTTTATAAACTTCAGGTGGTATTTACCACCTATTCTTTGTGAGGGTTTTACTTTTTTCATTGGTTTCAAATATGTAAAAAGCCATTCTTAGCCAATGGGCTCACGGAAACAGACTGTGACCTAGATTTAAACTGTCCTACATTGCACTGTAATATAGATTTTAAAAAAACAAATGTCATCATCCTAGAATAAGCTAGTTACCCTGCTTGATGGACACAAGCCACCTCTGACAGCATCAGGCAGCCAACCCCATCCCACCCTCAGTCATCCATTGCCTCTTGTTCTTCAAAGATGTGGTGAGCAGGTAAGTGACACTCAGGAAGGTACAGGTTGGATACCTGTGGGCAATGATAGTCTTGTGTTTTATTATTGATTGCCCTATTCTAACAGCCAATTAACAAAACACAAAGAAGCCTTGTAATTAATTCCAAGTTGAAAACCTGAAATCTAAACTAAATGATCTTAAGAATGAACTGGAATCTCCACCAGCTCCTCTTCCACTGTCTTATACCCAATTTCATCCCCAGAAAGGCTCAAGGGACACGTTCAAAGCTATCAAATAGATTGGATTGATATGTTGAGAAATCCATCAAAACTTTAAATGAATAAAATACCTAAATGACTATCCTTCACTTTATTGACTAACATTTAGTCATGTAATTCTGTCTTTTGTTTCGATTTATTGGTTGACTGGTTTGGGGATTTGGGGCTTATTTGGGTTTTTTGTTTTGGTTTGATTTTTGACTAAGAGCCTCATTCCATAGCCCAGGCTAGTCTTGAACTCACTATACATGCCTGGGTGACCTCAGACATCACTGCGATCCCTCAGCTTCCTGAGCGCTGAGATTATTAATATAAGCCTCCATGCCCAGCTTGCAATTTGGTCATTGTGTGCCACTTACCAATTCAATTTATAAGACTACTGTCATCATGTGGTCTGTTATTACCCAAATAATCTTCTACAGTGCACAACTGTATATTCATTTATTCATTTAAAAAGAAAGAATTTTGCTGGGCATGGTGGTACAGGCCCGCTATCTTAGCTATTTAGGAGCTTAAGGCAGGAGGATCATAAATTCAAGCACAACCTGGACAATT